GGTGCCTCAATCATTGGTATACCTTGTGCTAAGCTCGACATGGATTATTTTTTTTTGAATGCAATGTAATGAAATGATCATATGCAAGGAATTAAATTCTCATTTTATTAAGGGAAAAAGGAAAAATCTACAAAATTAATCTAAAGGAAAAGAAAAGGTGCCTATGCTAGACTTATTGGGGAAAGAAAAGATGAAAAAGAAATAGAAAAAGAGGCCATGAAATCTTGTCGTTGAAGCTCGCCTCTTGTCTTGTGTTGTTTGCTTTATCATCACTCGCTCTTCTTGTTAACTGGAGGCATGGGAAGCGTGTTATTATCAATCAAATGTTGGATAGCCTCCTTTAGTTTCCAACAGCTCTCAGTAGTATGACCCCTACCTTGATGGTACTTGCAGTGTTCGTCTGGATTCCAACTAGACAATCTCTTTTCAGGTGCGGGATCTTGAATAGGTCCAATGGGAGTAATGAGTCCTTTGGCATGGAGTCGATCGAAGGCAGTATCGTAGCTCATCCCAATGGGGGTGAATTCTTTCCTTAGTTCCTTCTTAGATCCTTGGTTATCTATGGCTAAAACTTCACTGAGATCAAAGGTACTAACATTGTTACTAGAGTGGGCGTTTTCGGAAGAAGAAGGATTGTCATTCTTCTTTCCTTTCCAGCCACCGTGGTTACTATTGTTAGTAGCTTTTTGCTTTGCAAGGTCATCTTCGATTTCAATTCCGATGTCATAAACGGCCTTGAAAGTATTCAAATTGTGTTGATATTTTAGGTTCTTTGAATACTTTTCTTGGAGATTCTTGATAAACATCCTCACAGATTCCTTTTCGGTGTGGACTTCAATCATCTTGGCGGAATTTTCCCTCCACTTATTAAAGAAAGAAGTAAAGCCTTCATTTTCTTTTTGTCTTAGAATCCCAAGTTGTCTATGGTCGGTTTCAACTTGGATATTGCACTTGTACCTATCAACGAAAGCGTTCACGATTGATTCCCATGTAGAGGTTTTCTTCTTGTCAAGGGAGAAGAACCATTGTTGGAAAACGATTTCAAGAGATAGTGGGAACAGAGAGGGGAAAACCTTCTTATCGATACCCTTAATGGTCATTATAGTTTCAAAAGCTCTTAGATGGAAGTAAGGATTATCTGTTGCCTTGAATTTTGGGATGTCGTTGGCATTGAACTTCTGCGGAAGAAGTTCCTTGTCCAGCGAGACCCCTTGCGAACTTATGCCCTGAAATTTATAGTCACTAGATAGCTTGCTTAGACTCTCTTGCATGAGATCCATCCGTTGTTGCTTCACGGGATCATCGACCTTAAGTGTGAGGAGCTTCAATGTTTCAGTCATGGTAACCAATTGGTTCCTAAGCTCATTGACTTCTTGAGTTGCCATTATCTTCTTAGCCTTCCTCTTTTGACGAATCGGTTTATCAAAAAGCGAGACTTGAATAAAGAGGTTGTCCTTGGTTAATCGCCCTTCTCTCCTCGACCAAGTACTGTGGAAAAGGAATTTGGGGATACTTATTGTTAATTATTTGACTCAAACTTTATTCAACATGCAATGGATGGAGGAGGTGAAGAAAGATGGAAGAATGTGAAGAAAGATTTAGATGGAGGGATATGAAGAATTAGGAGTAGAATGTACCCCAACTCAAATGACGGAAAAGACCGACTTAAGACATGGAAATGGTGATGTGTACTCAAAGTGTGTGCTAAGACTAGTGAGTGTAGGTGACATGTTAAGACTTGTGTCATGACCATGTGGCTAGACTATGTGACCAAGACTCGATTAACGACTTGAGACTAGGTGACATGTTAAGACTCGATTATTGACAGCGAAAATCAACCGAATTAATTAGTAAACTGGTTAATTAGACCCTAGGTGATGACTCGACAAATAATCCGAACTGTCGGCCAAGCGACAGGACTGGCGTCACAATATGGTGATTGGCGCCAGACTTTTTAGTAAATGTCTAGCGCTACACACCATACAGTGGCGCTACAGCTCAGATTTTGGCACCAATATTGGAGCCTCGGTCTGGGACTGTTTTCGATATTATTAGTCATTTGGGGCATGCCTAAAGTCTTACTAGGTCAATTCCGATTAAAAAAACTTTATTGACTCAAAACAATTAATTAATTAATTAGGCAAAGTTAAGAGGAGCATGGAATATATATATGCACAACAAATAATGCACAATTAGTCAAGTAGGCACAACATGATGCAATGAGTTCGCAACCTAACCATGGCTCTAGTTCTCTAAAGTTCGGGATATGGTTTAGTCAAATAGGGTCCATGGTTAATTGTCCAGATGCACCGCGTAGAAGCCTAACCGTGAAGGGTTAACGCGTGTGGATAGGACACCGCGAGTTTTTAGAAAAAACTCGCTTCCATGGTTTGGTGAATTCAACCTCTCAGTTGTACCCTTTGTTGCCAGGAGCGTTCAATCGGGTAGATAGAGCATGAATTCCTAGAGGGTTATGTCCATATGTAGAACACATATGGGTTTCAAAAAAGTGAGAAAAAAATTCAATCAGGAAGTAGGATCGAGCAAACAATACGAAAAACCGGTCTAAATTAGAACGCATATTTCTGGCTCGGTATTCGGGGAAATTGGCGCCAGCAAACAGAGATTGGCGCCAACTTTTAACTGTAGCGCCTGGCGCCAATACTGGCGTCTGGCGCTACGGAAAAAAGTGTGGCGCCAAGCTCTGGCCCCTGACGCTACTTCCCACATGCCTCAGCAGCTTTCTGTGCTCAATAAAATCATCCAGTTTCGCGCGGTGTTATTTCAGTCCTAGTTGTGAAAGACATTTCTCAAATTTCCTACGTGTAAAAATCCTATGTTTTTTACTCATTACGGATGGTATTTCCAATGAGAACCTTTTTATGCATATGACACAATGTTAATAAAAAATATGCACATGAAATACTTAGAACTTTTCGAGTCTCATCCACTCATTCTAAATCATTGCCGAAACAAATTCAGGAATTAAAATAGAAATCCTCCCCAGTGGAGTCGCTAAAAACTGTAGGGAATAGTTTCAAGCCTTTAAAAATCCCACTAGCTTGAACCCCACTGTGATCATACACTAAAGTACGGTGGCGTCCAAAAGGGAAGAAGATAGAGCAAAAGAGTCGCCAACAAGTTTTTAAGGAACTTGTAAACCGTTCACGAGGTGAAGGTTACACCCCTTAACGATCCAAGAGATCGTCAACTCCATATGGTCATGAACCAAATAAGGGTTCGGGGATGATGGTACAAATCCAACCTAAAAGAGATTGAACCTGCCCTAATAATAGGCCTCTACTTTATTCTGGTCGTATTCATGTGCGCTTTCTGACTAACATACAATCAATAGGATTAACCCTAAACCTGTTTAATCTATGTTGGTTGAATATTAATGCACAAATAAACTATTATTGGCGATCACTTGAAATTATAATCACAATTAACCTAACAAGATTATTAAAAATCTTATTAAGCGTGGTTGCAAATACCAATTCCCTTTAACCTGCAATAAAGGTGATCAAGCAATAACAATATAAAATAATATGCATATCAAGCAACATAATAAATAATCAATATCATTAATAATAATAATATCATAATAATAATCAATGATAATCATAATCATGTTAAAGCATAGCAAGATCCTAGGCATGATACTAACAAGATTAATAACAAACCCTAGCACGTCACTAAGCAATAAAAATCAAATCTTTAGCCCTAACATGATACTAACATGAATTAACATTAGGAAGAATATAGGAAGCGTCGTACTTTTAATCATACTTGATATTAAAGTTATCCTAGACATGATACTAGGAATCAAAATAACAATCTAAGCATGATATCTACATCATAATATCAATTAAACCATTAAAGTACTTACTTGGATGCCTCGTACCTCTTTCTAATAACAAAATACACGCGTTAGTAACTTCAAGGAAAATAATAAACAAAACAATTAAATTAAATAATTGAAATAGAGATTTGGGACCAAACCCTCAGAAATCAAATCCTTTCACGTCTAGGGCGAAGGCAACTTCGAATATGGCTAGGCGTTTCAAGACCTTGTGAATGCGGAATTTTGTATTAAAAAGCAAAGTAATAAAGGAAGAATGAATGAATGTTAAGAATTATTGATGAAAGAGATGAAGATGATGAAAAGAATTGATGAACGGTTTGTTAATAAAGAGAGTTGATTAACGGTCAATGAATATTGATCATTGGTAGTTGAAAAAGTGATTGTTGATGAATGAAACCGGAGTTTTAAATACGATATTTATAGAGAAAATCATCCAAAAAAGATAATTTATCAAAACAGAGTCTGAAGATTGCAAAACTAACTTGGCGCCAGCCTTGGCTCATTGGCGCCAGGACCAGTGGCTTGCGCCAAACGCCAATGGCTAGCGTCTGGCGCCAATCCTGATTCCAGGCGCCAAGGCCTGGGGTTGGACGCCAAATTGGATTTCAACGCCTTTTTTAAAATCTGATAAGTTTCCCGTACTGGAAGATAAAATAATATAATTTCAGTCGAAAATGCTATTTGATCTTGATTAAAACTCTGAAGAATCATAATTGAATTAAGAATGATAAGACCTTCTAGAAGATTCTAGAAGACTAAAACCATTCCTAATTACATTAGGAATGATAAATCATATTAGGCCCTCCCCTAGATCATTGGGCCGTACTTAAAGCTCAAACCGGGCCTAGTTTAGTGAATTGGCCATAAATTCCTCAATATTCATCGGAATTGGGCTTATAATATATCGTTGGAAAGGTCTTTGCAAGCCCCATCCAACTACACCACTATTGGACCCATATCATGGACCAACCAAACTGGATTGGCTTTTTTCTTAAAATAAAGTTTTCAAAAACAGAAAAAAGAGAAAAGAAATAAAACTTTCCGCAACACTAGACCTTTCCACACTTTCGTTTCATTCGATTATGATTCGACGTGAAAGGCACTCATCACTGGGTTTGGTTTTGGGGAGACACAAATGGGTGTCTACACATACAATGAATATGTATTCAACAAAGCAATGCAGAAGATACATGAGTACAATCCTAAGGCTGTTGAATATTTACATAGATGCACTGAGATCTGGTCTAGATATAAGTTTGATCCTACAGTGTGTTGTGATCATAACACAACAAATTTTGTAGAATCTTTCAACTCATGCACAAAGCCCTACAAGGGTATACCTGTTTTAAAACTACTTGAAGGTATCCACATCCACAAAATTACTTTAATTTTATTAACACAAGTGCCTTGCATTCCTTTATTTTACATTTTTTGTGCATGCTGTTTTGTAGCTATAAGGCAGTGGGTAATGAAGAGGATTGACTCAAAGTTTGACAAGGCTATAGGCAAGGAGGATATGGAGCTAACTGAATATGCAGCAAAGATTTTGCAAACAAGATCATATGAGTCTAGGTTGTGCTATGAAACCCCATGTCGCGGTGATGGGTTTGAGGTGAGAGACCAACATGTGCATTTTCCCATCAAGCTGAACACTGACACTTGTGGTTGTGGGAAGTGGCAGCATTTAGGGATCCCGTGCAAACATGTACTAAGGGTTATTTACCACTAGAGGCTACAACCTGCAGACTTTGTAGCCCCTTGTTTCAAAGGGAAAAGTTAGGAACTTAGGAGGTCCCCTTAATGGCGCCTAGACCAAGTCTATACCAGCCTAACACTCAAGAAACAAAGAATTAACGCACACAAGTAAGAGACAAGCACCAACAACGTAAACACTTCATTATTTTCATGGCTTACAAATTACAAGGAGTTTCTCTCTCTAGAGCTCCCAAATTCGATACCAAGCAAATGAATGCCTTGACCTATTTATAGGCACTGACTACAGCCCAGTCAGATAGGATAACTGCCCACTATACCCACTATGTCCATGATCTAATTATTTTCCACTACTTGGATGCTACTTGGATGTATCTGGACTTGTCCACGTACTCAAGGAAGTTATCCATGTTCAACATGCTCTTGTAACTGCTTGTTAACCGCCATACCCCACTATGCCATGTTCCTATATTTAAGAGACATGCATCAGTTATGCATATGTGGCGCTCAACCACATGATAAGTTTAACCGCCTACTCCCTTAGTGTTCTTATTTTCTAGGGCCACTAAGTGGGTGGTGTAACTTCTACATGACGTGGCATTCTCCTCTCAGAATAACTACCCACGTTCATGGCTACACCCCACTACTTTAGTGTTCCTATTTTATAGGAACCGTCCCCGTAGTGGCTTAACTGCGTTCCCGTCTGACCATATTCACAAGCACAGTCAAGATAACCGTTAGTCAACCCACTAACATTATGGTCCCTATATTTTAGGAACCATACTTAGCCAGGTGCCACCTCAGCATAACCGTTCCAACAATTTAGAGAGAGTGTTGCAACGTGAGTGGTTACCTCAACCGCCCACTAGCCCCACTATTCAGTTAATCCCTAAATTCAAGGCAACCGCATGCAACCACGATGACTAAGCATAACCGGCAAAGAGTCCCTACTATAAATAGCACACTAAGGGGAGCTTTAGTTAGACCAATCATCAAGCCAAAACATTTCCTCAACATCCAGCATATAGCCACACAATCCCATGGTTCCCTCGAAAGACCCATAGTCATCGTTCCTCCATGTTGGAGCCATTACGGTCTCCACTACAGTAGTGGACCATAGAGACACCTTCACATGATCCTAAGAGCATCCCTTAACCAAACCACACACCACTTATCTAGCATGCTCTAACTAAGTCCCAAGCCCTTGTTAGTTGCCCCGCACCTGCCCTAGTTGAGACCATCGAGTCGGTTTGTCCTATCGAGTGTCCACCATAGCCATCCAAGTGTGCTATAGTCCCCATAGGCCAGCCTATGTCTGAGACAATGCCCAAGGCCCCTATCCCCAAGGCCACCCTTAAGTCAGCCCCTGACCCTTGAGTGAGCACTCGCCCCTAAAAAGCTTTATTTTGATCTGGGCATGAAATAATAGTGAACACCCAACTGACGTAACACAATAATGGGGTCTCAAGCCCGATATCAACCTTGGCCCTATGGCCATGTATGATCTATTAGGTAACTAATAAGTCCCCTCAATAAGTATCAAAGGTTGTTATGAAGTTTTGCGCATCCACACACTCCGAGGATCTTTTAGTGCGCACGCGCTAGCCATAGGTCCAAGGCCTAGCTAACCAAGGCTTTGCTAGAACCATGGACTAAGCACTTGGGGGTCATCCTTGATAACCTCACAAACCATAGACATGGTAGTGAGCCACTTAGCCTCACTTGGCTCGTTCTTGCCAAATCGATCACGCACTTGCTCGCGTGGGCAAGTGAAAACTCGAAGACCTTGCGCGCCCACACGGGGTGGTCGATGACCATGCCTAGGTCGACCCAAAAGTGACCGTGAAACCTTTCCATTATTGTGTCCTCCCCTTCCCTGTTATTTATCCAAGTGAATTGTGGACCTTTGAATGGTAATTCAATTAAGCCACAATCGAGGCGCCATTGACTAAACCACACTGCCCCTCTAATATGACTCGATCCACCCAGTTTTTGCGAAAGAAATTCAACTTGGTTAAAATACCTATCAGAATATGATTGCCAGGGAATGCATTCAGATGGGATGATAACATTTTCCAGACCTGTTTTATATCCTCTAAGTAAGGCTAACCATAAACAAAGGTGCAAATAAATTCAAAGTTCATCTGGTCCAAGACCTTACAGGAAATAAAAAAACGACTACTGGCTAGCCATTCAATAGAGAAAATCTTAGACCATCCTATGAAAAGACCCCCAGCCAACTCCTAAGCATCAACTCTAGAGCAAATACTATAACCCATTCTAGAGAAAACAAGGATAATTACAGATACATGACACTTAGTTTCTAAAATGAAAATATAATCAACAGACATGCATCTAGTACTACTACTAATAAAGGGAATTGTAGGGGGAGACAACGACCCTAAGCCCCTACAATTCCAACTCTAAATTCTCAATTAGCACCTCGTGGCTTTCCTAGGGTAGCCATGGAACCATTCCAACACGAGCAGCAGCACTTGAAGAAAATTGGCACCTCCTTCTTAATCCCATTCTTTGCAGCAGAGTCCACTAACACAACACCTTTCCCATCCCCTAGAACCACCAGCCTCAGCGAGTCATCGTTTGAAAGACCTAGATTTTGCATTCGCACCCCTATACACCTTGGTCTTCTTTCTCTTCTTTCCCCTGGCCTTGTCCACATTGGGCTCGCCCTAGGCCTGCTCTTTTGGATCTAGATTGAGATTCAAAATTGAGTAAATTCCACGTTTGACTCCACTGGGCTCACTATTGGGCTCGCTTATCTTCACTCCACTGGGCTCACCACGCTTGAAATTATCCATCAGGAACCCGCTGGGCTTCCAATAAATATTTTTCGTGGGCCAAGCAGAAACTGGGTCTTTTTTCTCGGACTTAGCTTGCTGGCCCGCTTAAACCTGCACAGGCACTATTTTTTCCTTGGCCTTAAAGGCCACGTCGACAGTGGACCCTGGTAGGAGACCTTCCCTTTCCGAATCCAATGACAGTGGGGAGATGTTCAAATCACTAATTGTAGTCATGTGATTGGGCAGATCTAATTTTGGAGAGAAAAAGGAATCTGGTGAGTTGGGAAAGCTATGTGGCTTTAGGAATAAGTAATAAATTAAAAACAAACCAATAAAAGGAATGCCAAGATTAGTATGTTACATTGATCGAATTAAGCCTAGGTTTAAAAGGCTGCGTTGGTTGTAGCATTAATATGGTTATGAATTGTTTTATTTACCAAAATCTCCACTAATAGCATGTAAAACTATTGCATACCCCTCTGATGAAACGGTTTGTCGTTGTCAATCATCAACCTTTGAAAAATTGAGAGAAGCTATTCTCCACCATCGAAGAGACATAATGAAAGATGAAGTATCATTGTAGAGAAAAATAACTGTGCTTTACATCCTTTTTCCTTGACCATGCAAGATAAAGTAGCCAAAGAAAATGCTATGTTTATGAAAGGGCATTTCTCCCCAAAAAAATCAACCATTCGTCAGCTTGAACTAATATTGCTAATCTCAGCTTTATTACATGGGAACTTTGAATCACCTTGTGCATTGTATACAAATTAAGAAAAAAAATGGAAGGATGCATTAATATTTCTAATTTCGGCTACCATTACAACCTTTGAGTTTAAACCAACAAAGGACTTCTTGAGCAGATGAATATAGAAGCAAGAAGATTAAAGGCAAATATTCATTACTGCACTGAAAAATTAGTAATCATTAAACAATCATAATTCATTTAATCAGCGTTGTCTCAAAGGCAAAGTTTGAAAGTACAAAGCCATAGGAATCCTAGTCAGTTCTCAAATATTTCAAAAGCTTCATCCTGTGTTGCACCTTTGCTTGCAATCCTCAACGAGAATGCTTATCCTAAAACAAAATAATAACGTAATTGTTGGCTACCAAACAATTCCCATCAAGTGAAAATTGCGTCATTTCTTTATAGTCACTGCCCTAGACATAAAATTTTCATACACAAAATCCAAAGAATAAGACATAATGATAAGGTATAGATCATACACGAAACCCGAATCCTAACTATTTTTTTGACACATAAGACCATACTATCCCTCCGGCAACTCACCATTCACCCAAATTAAATACATAAATAAAATACACCGAATCTAAAATTGTATGTTTATTGACTGATCAATAGATTTATTCATAAAAAAGAGAGAAATTTAGATCTCTCCTCTGTGATTGTCTCTAAAATAAATCAATATCAACAACACAATCTTCTACTTTCAGATACGAAACAAAGTTAAATGATTTCTATTACACTCTAGTTTGGAAAAATGCCTTTTACCAACAACCCCCAAAAAAGAAACTGTAGAAATATTAGAACTATCTTTATACAAAGTAGTCACCTAGTAAACTATTTCATGAAACAAAAGGGGCCAAAAAACATCCATCACATAATGCTTTTACTTAGACTTCTATCAAAGATAATAAAGTCGGAGTGACTAAGCATGATCAAGCATCAACTATGTAACAATAACAATCCCACCAGTTTTAGAAACAGATCTCAAAGAAAGATCCTTTAAAAGAAATAATAAAGAGAAAATTACGAATATGACAATGGCTAAAAGTTTAGAATTCGAAATGTTCCAATCTCCATGCCTCCCCCTCTTTCTCTTTTCTCCTATGTATCACAAGGTTAGGAAATCTTTTCCTATATACTTTATAAAAATCTTTGTAAAAACCACTCACCTAAAGGTCGAGGAATCTCTTCATGCATCACCACTCAGGAGAGATTTAAATTGTAGACATTGGGGGGGGGGAGGGGGGAGGTTGAGCAGGCATGAGGCACAACTTGGAGCTTATAAAATAGAGAAATAATGTTATGATGTAGCATGATATAAATAAATATCTATCTCTAAAAGTCACCCATTGGTTCTAGTTGTAGGTTTTCTTGGCCATTCTCATTTGCTAATGCTGGAAAAAAAACCTACTCAAAGCCTTGAAATTTTATCAATTGTTGAGGTTGGCTTCTTGGCTGAGTCCATGCACAACTGTACTAAATAAGCCCTAATATCATGGAGATTCTCATGTAGATGAGCAACCATGAGTGTTGAACCACCAGGAAAGCATAGTGCCTAGTGCGTGACATATATCTGATAAGAAATCTAAGAACTATACCTTTTGTATTCACCTCTGCTATTGATAGACATACAACCTTACTTATGAAGAGCATATGCACCCAATGCCTGACCTAAGTCAATGGCCATTAGTCAAACTGCCTAACATATTACTACTAGTGGTGAAAAGATCTGTAGGAAGACCAAAAAAAGCAAAGAAGAAGAGGGCTAAATGAAGAAAGGAAAGGAAAGAGGCATTCAACAGTTAAGTGCAACTTATGTAATGAGTTGGGGCACAACATGTTGACATTCTGCATCAAGGAAAAAAATCTCTACAACTTTAGCAAGCACATCAAACACCTCCTCTCATCCCAAGAAGAAAACAAAGAGAGTATCATGAATGCACAACAACTCAGCTTTTTAATGCACTACCAGTTCATCCATGTAATTTTTTGAACATTAACAGTGTAGTGTGTGCTGTGTTGTCTTGTTTATTTTGACATATTCTTGTAACTTTTTAGGTAATTTATGCAAACAAGGAGGTAGTTTTTGAGCACATGATTTGAACATGAAGCCATTATATACTATGCAAATGATTTAATTTCCCTATTTATTAAATTTCATTGCAATTACAATACTTCATTTCATCATTACAATCACAACTACAACACACATCAGTGCCCCCAATTTCATTATACAATTTAGAACTTTTTGCTGCTGCTTGATTTTCTTCTTCAATTGTTTTAGTTCTTCATACAAATTGCTTTGTCCTGAGCCACCCTTTACATAACAGCTTCCCTTCTGACCTTCTTCTTGCATCTGAACTTTGCACCATTTGAAGCTATTACATGAATCACACTTATAATACAACCTTTGTGGATTAGATGTCGACTCGAGCTACTAATTACGTATTTTCTACCACACTTGCAAAATTGGTTTGGAACTCTAACATATGCATATTCATGTATTGAGGAGGATGTGTTTGATATCAAACTCAAGATTATATAAAAAGGGTTGCTATGTGTGTTCTAAGTGTCAAATTTTTACAACAAATTGGGTGTAACGGCTAGTTTACTCTAAAAAAAAAATTCAAAAATTGTGAAACAAACTAGACATTGCAACTCATTAATTCAGAGGTATATTGTGTAAAAATTTACAAAAGTAATGGTATTTGGTGAAATATGTAAACTACTAAGTGTCATTTCATGAAATAAGTTTCGCATTAACTGAGAACTAACAGCCAGACCTCATTTATGGCACGAGGTGTCATTGTACTATTTGTTAGTAGAATTTGGTGAATTTTTAAAAGGTTGATGGCATTTGGAAAAATAGTCGTAAAAAATAACACACCTTAAACGTAAAACTAGTGGGGTAGTTGAGAAAATAAATAATTGTAAAAAGCAAAAGTAGTGGAAAAATAGGAGGAGAGAGAGTATTATGTTGGGTCCACTAAGTGTGAGAAATGAATTAATTACTGTAAAAGCTTTCCATAAAAGGAAATGGAGCAAGTATTTAAAAACGGCCGGAAAAGGAATTAAGTGGAGCAAGTATTTAAAAACGGAGGGAGTAGATATCACCATCCCTTCCTCTATTCCAGCTAGTTTTTGACTAAGGGGGGACCCATTATAAGCATGTATTTTTTTTTGTTTAGTGTACACGTGTAATCATGTGATTGATAAAAACAAATAGAAAAATTTAAAAACAATTACAATAAAATCAATTTTTTATTTTTTTTTCAAAAAAAAATTCAAATAACCTAGCCCTCAGCAACCACCCCTCCCCCCATATCTTACCACCCACTGAGAACAACATCCCCCACCCAAACTTGCCGCTCACCGGTCACCCCCACACCAACCAACCACCTCCATCCACTTACCCTGCCAGTACCCCTTTTTGCAAACCCCTCTAAGCTAGGGGTGAAAGTTTGGTATTCGGTTTGGATTTTACACCAAATCGAATCCAAACCAAATTATTTTGCTTTTGGATTATTAAAACCGAATTTGGATTCAATCCAGTCAAATCCATACCGAAATAATTTGGTTTGAAAAATGAATCCAATCAAAACTAATTTTTTTGGGCTGTCATTTAAGGCCTTATATATTGGGCTTTTAATTGGACCAATAGTTTTAGCCCTTAGGCCTAAATTTTGTACCTGTTCAATTGTTCATATAAATTTTAAGGAAAAATCTTCCTAACACTTAAGTCTTTAAGCCTAATTTTTGCCTAATTAAGAAATATCATAATAAAAAAAAACTTTCAGCCATTAGAATAAAATTACAAACATATTAAAAGTCTTAAAAATGAATTATAAGTCACATAAAATGAGATAACAGTCCATGGAACCAACTTAATTCAACTACATCAGCTTAATTCAACTGACAGCAAGCTTAATTCAACTTGGCAGGATTGGCAGCTTCAACTCAGCCGCTTTAACTCGGCAACTTCTACTTTTCACCAACAGTCCCTTGAACATTACCCATATTTGTTAACCTTCTGTTTTAAAAAAGAAATAAACAACATATTAACACAATGCAACATATGGCAGGGACTGACGAACTTAGAGTTCATACTCCACAGCACATATACTAAGCCATTAATAATTGAAAGATTTACCATGCATGCATAGCCATAAATAGAGCAGTAACTGAGCTTGAATACATATAAACATCAAACTTAAAATTCATCAGACCAACATATAAACACCTCATAACAATATATAGTACACCAAACTTTAAATTTAGAACAACTAATAAACATATAATCAAACTTAAAGTTCCAAGCTTAAAATTTAGAACAACCAAACTAAAACAATCAAATTAAAGTATGATATATAATCTAAAAAAAAGTGACAACTAAGGGCAGCAACAATGAATGGACTTAATTCGAAGATTTCGAACATAAAAACCAACACAATTGGGGAAAAAACTAGAAAATAAACAACCAACATCAATGGAATTAATTCAAACATAACAACAGAGAAGATCTATTACGTTTGAGTGAAAGTGACCGAGGTGTTGGTGAGGGAACACGCACAAGGGAGCCGCAAGGTGGTGAGGGAGTTGTTCGCGCAAGGCGGTGAGGGAGCCTCAACTCGCAACTCGCAAGATCTAATAAAATCGCAACCTAGAATTTGCAAGATATGAACTCGCAACTCAGAATTCGCAAGTCATAGTTCGCGCAAGTTGGTGAGGGAGGTCGTGAGGTGGTGGTGTTCGCGCAAGGTGGTGACTAGTGAGAAAAGGGGGAGAATTTAGGGAGGTGGTGACATGGTGAGGGAGGCATGGATATGCGGAGATCTTGAGTTCAGAAGAAAGGAAAGAGGAAATGGAGAAGAGGAAATGGGTTGGGGTTTAGGCTTATATATGGAGGGGAAATGGGTTGGGGTATTAGGGCTTGTATAATTCGGTTTGGAATTTCGGTGTTCAGTTTTTTGAAGCCATAAACCGAATCCAAATCGAAATATTTGGTTTTGGATTTTTGGAACCGATCCAAATCAAAAACCAAAAAAAATCCAAATCGAATTGTTAATTCAGTTCGGTTTGGTTCGATTTTCGATTTTAAGTCGTATTACTTTCATCCCTACACTAAGCCCCACCCTTGCTCAGGAAACCCCACCAAGCCCCCTCCCATGCCCACAAAATACCACCTAGCCCCCACCTCTTCCACAAAACCTCCTCCCCATCCCTATCCTCAACATTCAAAGTCCAAACTGCCCTCTTCCCCTAAAAGCACCCATCACCTAATTAAACCCCCACCTCAAAACTACCCTAAACTAAGGAGGGTGGGCTGAATCGTTGAGGGGGAAGGTAAGGTGGTCGAAAACAAGAATCGACAAGGGGGGGGGGGTGCTGGAAACAAGGATGAGGAAGGGAGGAAGTGTCGGAAACAGGGATGGGGAAGATGAATGATTTATGTCTTCGTCAAGCACAATTACTAGATATATAAATGGATCAAATTATGGAGAACTTAAGTTCGTTTTTTGGGTCATCATTATATCATAGCTAGAGGTACTAATGATTTTGTACCTGATTTTCCGATCAAATAGCTACGTTGAATACATGCTTCAAAGGTATGATTATGTGATTTTTGTGTGTTATGCATGCGATCTTGATTTAGTTGTGTATGAATATGATTCAAGAAATTCCGCTTATAGTACCTAAAAGTCCTACAGTGGTATCAGAGACTCTTACATGAGCACGCTTGATTATAATTGTAGGCGTCGCTCGAAGTGCGCCCACGTAAAAGCATGTGGTGAATATGCTTAGCACTCATAGGAAGTGGGAATTGACATAATACGATTAGGGACAAGGAAAGTAGGGAGCCGCCAACAAGTTTTTAAGGAACTTGTAAACCGTTCAAGGATCATAAAAAGGCAACCACGATAAGGGACAACGATAGGCAACAACGATTGACCCGTGAAGGTTACACCCCATTCATAATCCATGAGATTACTAACTCCATATGGTTCGAAACCACGAAAGGAGGATCGGGGATGATGGTACGAAGTGAGTCATGGAGTCACATTCGCCCGTATTGGCCTCTACTCGATTCTTATAGTGAAAAATGATTCCTGCGATCTCAAAGGCATACAAACAGAGATTCAATTTTCTCCAAACTATTATTATTCTAAATTGGTTGAATATTAATGCAACATATAATTCTAAAATATTGTGATCACTTGAATTAATTAACAAGATTAAAAAGGAACCTAAACTAGTTGTCCAAATTATCTTATTAGGCGTGATTTTCAATTACATATTTCCTTTAACATGCAATATGGTGATCATAATAATAAATAATAGAACAAACATTAATATTGGAAGCAAATTAACCAAAATTCCAACAACATAAAATCGTAAGAAAAATAATAGAAATTAAAGGAACATAATTCTTACTTTGATTCTGTTTGTTTGCAACTACAAAATAATAAACGAGTTAGTAACTTCAAGGAAATAAAACAATAATTAAATTAAATTAAATAAATTAGAGTTGATTTGGGGCCAAACCCTCAAACAATTCTACCTTTCACGCCTTGGCTTAAGGATGGAACCACGAGTAAAGTATGAACTCCTTTGAGTACTTGAAGAAGGAATTTTGAAATGAGAAGGGTAGGCTAGTGTTTAGGCTAAAGCATAGAAGAGAGAAAAATAAAACTAGAGAATTAATTGATGCCCCGTACATCATAAATGAGGGGGTATTTATAGGGAAAATGTGCTGAGGGAGCACACGGAACCCTAAAATGATAAAAACCCTAAAAAAAGTATCCCGTGACACGACAAACTGTACCGTGACACAGGAAGTCCCACCGTCAGACGGAAAACTTTCCCGTGACACGGTACATTTTTAGTGTGACGCGGGAAATTTTCAGAAAACGGGAGAGAAAACGCGTTAAGGGTTTACGCGGAAAAGACACGGAATGTCCCGTGTCACGGCAGACTTCCCGTGTCACGGGAAATCCCACCGTCAGACGGGACTGATTCCCGTGACACAGTAGGTACCTGCCGTGGCGCAGGAATTCCCAGCCCATTTTTCCGTCTAAATACATTTTTTAACCCTAATTTCATTCGGCATTTTAAGTGCCGATTGATAATTTCGGGCCTTTTCTGACTTATTATCATTTGGGCTAAAATAAGAAAATAATTAAATAAAAATAAATAAAAGGTTTGGGCCAAAAATAACAAAACAATAAAATAAAAAAAGGTTTGGGCTAAAATTAAATAATAAGTTTGGGCGAAAATTAAAACTATGCTTTTTCCAAACATCAAGACTAATCCGTGGACTGTTCAAAAATATGAATTTAATCAAATACGATTTTTTAAGCACTCTCGGGATTAAAAACTGAACCCGACCAATAGTAGCAGTGAAAGGTTGTTCATCATCGGGTTTGATTTTGGGGAGACATTTTTAGGTGTCTACAATAATTATATGATTATTTAATTTCCATGTTCATAATTTTATAATCAATTAAGAGGGAGAAATTAATTTATTATGGTTCAATTATTATACTATCTCTAGAACATATTATATGTAACTTTTGCCAAAAACGAAAATATCACATTAGATGCAACTTTCCCATTATTTCCTTTTTTAGTAATTTTTTTTAATGAAATCATGCAAATACCCTTACTCAAAATATTATAAACACAATTAAATAACTAAATCAGAATTCATTAAATAATAATTTAACCTAATTAATATAATTCTTCTCCCTAAATTCAATTCACCCAAAATTAAATCCAATAAACAATCAACTTCCACCCATTCATCTTTCACAACTATTTTGACCACCACCACCTTCAACGTCACCGGCCACCACCACCTTCAACGTCACCGGCCACCCCCACCTTCTACATCTGGAACGCTCTCATTCTCTCTCTATCTGTCGCAAGAATCAGACCTCCCATCTATCTCTTCTTCTCTTAATAAGATATGATGAAGTAGGGGTGGTTGGGATTGTATTGGGTACTTTATGAGGTTTTTAGGGTAGGTTTGAGTAGATTGGGATTAGTAGTGGAACGTTTCGACAAGGTTTTGAAGTTTTCGAGGTGGGTTCGATGGGACTAGGTCGGGTTAGTGGTGGTGTGGGTTTAGGTTGGTTTTGGGTTGGTTTAAAGTGGTTTTGGGTGGGTTTAGGGTAGTTTTGGGTTTTAGGTGGGTTCAGGGTTGGTTTCGGGTGGGTTTTTGGGTGGTTTCGGATGGTTTCAGGGTGGTTTCGGGTGGGTTCAGGGTGATTTTGGGTGGGTTCAAGGTGCTTTTGGGTTTTGGGTGAGTTTAGGGTTGGTTTTGGGTGGGTTTTTTGGTGGGTTCAGGGTGGTTTCAGGTTTGTTCATGGGTGGTTTAGGGTGAGTAGGGTGGTTTTGCGGTGGTTCTAGGTGAGTAGTAGTGGTTCCAGGTTAGTTTTACGGTGGTTCAGGGGTGAGTGGAGGCGGTGCATAGGAGGTTGCGGTTTAATAATTATGCTAAAAAAAGCCATGAAAAGGACCAAATTATGCCCTAGATTGCTCTAAAATTTTTGAACACTATACACCAAATTTAGAATTTTTCGAAAATAATAGCCTATATTTAGATTTTGTGCTTGTTTTTTTTTTTATTTAATTCGAATTGTTTCATGTTTCATAATTTTAATTAAAATTGATTTATACATAAAAATATTTTGTGTATGATCATCAATTTAATTTTACGAGTTAAAATTAAATTTGAATTATTTTATGATGAACCTTAATTTTAAAATTGAACATGGGTTTAGTTTTAATTTTGGATTGATTTAATTTAATTTAAATAAATATTATTTTAATTAAATTAAAAATAAATAAAAAGGTTTTAAGTGACTGGTAGCCACGGCTAAGTGGTGCAGCCACGGTGGCTGCCGACCAAGGTTAGTCAAATAGGGAGGGCAGGTGGTCTGAGTTGCTGGGCAGCATCGTGCAAGTGTTATACGGCTACTATCAAGGCCACACTGTTGCTTCTAGCGATTGTGGCTACTAAAGTAGCCAGCCATCGTGGCTAGCCTAGGCTGGCCACACATAGTGTCGTACAGCCACAACGGAGTTGTTGCTCGCTGCTGCCCTTGCGGCAGTGGCTTTGTAAAGCAGCCAACCATCGTGGCTATCGTAGGATGGCCGAACAGTGCCCTACATCCACGGTAGAGCTGTTGCCATCATGGTGGCCAGTGTTCAAGGCATAATTTTTCAAAAAAAAAATATTGTTTTAAAATATTTCAAGATAAATTCAGGTATATTTTTAAGATAAGATCAAATTTTATTCTAGGATAAAGTCAAATTTTCAAAAGTTGATTAATTTGATAATCATCCATATTTAAAGTTGTTAAATTTGTGATTATCCATAATTAAAGTGGTTAATTTTGGATTAAATTTGTTACAAAATTCTAAGCATATTCTTAAAGGAAAATAATCGATTTTTAATAATGTGAGTATTCCATAATTAAATTAGAATATAATAGATTTTAAATTTTTTTAATTTGCTAGTAATTAGGATAGAAACTCCTAAAGTTATAAGGTTAATCATGGGAAAATAAATATGATTTATCTTTACATATGAAAATATGATTTGATTATATCTTATGTCAAATTTAAAATATATGATATTTTATATATAGATGGCAATGAATAATATACGATATTATCTAATTACGATTCAAAATATGATATATTTTAAGAAATGCATTATTTTAATTATGAACATTCGATGTTGTAGTTCAGACAAGTTTATTGAGTGATTTATTATATGACACTTTTATACTCCCTCCGTTTCACTTTGTTAGTCCCATATAGAAGCAATCACAAAAAATAAGAGAAGGAATAATATTTGGAATCTTACATTTTAGTACAAAAATTACTTAATTAGGGCTTGTTCACATTTACTGAACTGAGCTGAACTAAGCTGAATTGAACTGAACTGAACTGATTAGAGCTGAACTGAACTGAACTAAACTGATTGGAGCCGGACTGAACTGAACTGAAATGAATATTTTATGAGAGAGGGAAATTAAGAGTTGAACTGAACTTAACTGAACTGATTGGAGCTCTGATTGGAGCTGAACTGAACTGAACTGAAATTAAGTAAATGTGAATAGGCCCTTAGTTCTATCTTATTAAATGTTCTGATTTTTTTCTTTGGAAAGCATCTATTACTATACTTATTTAACGTGAGGAATATCAATCAAATGCCATGTCATTAATCCATAAATGGGATTGATGACCAATC